AGAGAGAGAGAGAGAGAGAGAGAAGAGCGGATAGAAGAAGAAAGAAGAGGAGGATGAAAAAAGAAAGAAAAAAAAAGAAAAAAAGAGATGTAACGTCGACTCGACGCGAAACGAAAGGGGTGAAAAATCGGGAAAAGGGTGGATAGGATATGTCTGACGTGGCTAAATGTCCCGAGACAAACGACCGGCTATTTCGACGGCTCTTTTGTTTTTCGGTAGGCGTTACCGTTTTGCCTTTTTGCGCGCACGCAGTCCACGTCCGGCAGCACAATGGGCAAAACGAGACATTCGTCAACGCGATCCTGCCGGAAAGGAGAACGACTCCGGCGATGGGGCGCGTACGTACGGTCAGCGTCAGTCCGGGACACCTTTTGTCTTTCCTCGAAACGTGGTCGTTACTACGTGATCGTCTTTCTTTTCTTTCTTTCGCTTCGGGTTTGTATATTTGCCCGAAACTTTTGAAATTAGAAAGTTCGCCGGACGATAGAACGATCGGACAATTGTCGAGTTTGGCTAAACGCTTGTGAAACTTTAGGATTAGAAAGAGAGAGAGAAGAAAGGACCAACTGGTTCGAGAAACCGTAATAATCCTCCGGATTTATATTTAGCCCTGTGAAATGACTACCGAATATCCTGCCGAAGACATAAATCATCTCAGGCCTAGGTCAATGTGTTTCGATTTCGGCTGAAAAATTTACGTCTTGCAACATGAGGTAATTTATTTCCAGATATCTCCATTTCCAACCAGTGTAAGTCGTAATAAAAAAATTAATTCTTTGTGCGATACACCTTGTGTGTGAGTGTGTGTGTGTGTGTGTAATTTTCGACCGTACTACATTTTCGTTTTAATTATTTCCCACGTATCATGATGATCTTTGTACCACTAAACGGTATTCTTCCCTGATACATAGAATTTCACCCGATTAAATTAAAATTACATTTGATTAGTAAGTCGGATAACAAAGTTCAGCCGCGAGCATTGACTTGTCTCGATAAGCTTACTATTGACATGTAACACAAAATTCCAAGGATTCCAGCGACTATAAATAGGAGATTAATCGACCGAAGAAAGAGCATGCAAAACGAGCACAAACCATGGAGGAGAGACTTCGATAAGATCGACGGAAAGCGACGAGTTCCTAGCGCGCCCTTTTATTCATTTCGCCGGTCTTTATCGGGCTTTATCTTGCTCGCGAATCTCTCCCTTAATTATTTCCTCTCTGCGGGGAACGAGGAGGAGACAATGGTGGACACGTGCAGCCGTGCGTCGCTCTTTATTACGCCTCTTTCTCTCCTCTGCTCATTGTCGATTAAAACAAAACGCTGGCCGCGGGTCGTCGTG